TCTAATAAATTATATTCAGTAGCCATTTTAATTGAATATTTTGATTATTTATTTATTTTTTCAAATTAAAACTGAACTTTATTGACTGTGTCCTTTTCCACACTTTTTAGTAATTTATTGTAATTAATTATTTGCATGCAATTAAAAACTAATTTTAAACGATGCCAAAGAAGGATAACTTCTCACGCGCCTACATAAGTACACGCACCCATTTTTTTAAATTAGGGATGAGTGAGAGTATTATAAACGTAAGAGTAAACAAATATAATCAGAATGTTCCGAACTGCTAAGCTATCAGGAGTTACACGTGTTATTGTAAGTCAACCATAAAAGATAGACATATGCTGTAGATGATGATATTTTTTAGAAAATTTTATGTAGAATATTTCCGTCATACATAATTTCTATGTAACTTTAACCATTAAGGCTGCGCACGCGACGGAAGCTTAAAAAATGGAGTAACTTCTCCCTTTTTCCCAAGATTTACCTTCATTACTCTGCTCCTTTTGATTGTAGCGTGATGAAAAGTATACTATAACCTGCCCAGGAGTATGAAGAATAATTGTACCAAGTTTCGTTAAAATCCGTCGAGTAGTTTTTGTTTCTGTAAGGAACATACACACAGACAGACAGACAGACAGACAGACAAAAATTTTACTGATTGCATTTTTGGTATCAGAATTGATCACTAATCACCCCCTGATAGTTATTTTGAAAATATATTTCATGTACAGAATTGACCCCTCTACAGATTTACTATAAGTATAGATAATATCTTTTTCCATTTTTCTAATGTTAAATTATAAAAAGTTATGATAAAAATCTTATCCAAATAACAAGTTTTGAGCAAAATTCATATTTTTGATTTGTATTCGAACCTATAAATAACAAATTTTCGATCACGGGTTTTGATTACATTTTTTTACGAAATTCAGAAAAATCATATCTCCGAGCCCGAATCGAAAAAAAACAACGGAAGAAGAAGAGAAGAAGAAGAACTGACACTACTCAGTTATCAAATATATATTTATTCTAGTTTCAAATTTATTTACAGTTTTATTATTTTGTCAGTTTTTATATTACGGGATTTTATTGTGTGCGGTTGGCGTCTTATTTTAATTAATTATTCTTTAAATTCGTTCATAGTGAATACTGTGAAATAAAATTGGCGTGGTTTTGTGATACAATCGTCTGCGCAACTGAAGAATTAACGGAATCTTTAAAATATTCGCTATATCGGTCAAGTGGATGTGAGAACTTTATTGTAGTGTTGACTACCTCACAGAAGCTTATCGAGAAAGCTGCCCCCCCCTAGATCAAGGAGCTTCAGAACCAAAAAATAAATAATAAATAATCAAAAAACTAAATATAAATTTAAAAAAAAATATAGAATCGCACATCAACCTCATTAGTCTCGTTACTAAAGCTTTAATTTCGATAGGACTACTCGTAAACAGTGAAGTGATTTCGTACGTACCTACGTTAAGCATTTCTTGGACGTAAAATAAGGATTATTAAATTAACTATATAGCCATTTTTGGTTAGATCATTGGTAAGATCGTAATATTTATTTAATTTTATTGTGAGGTATTTTGGAATGTTAGTACGATACAGTAAGCTCTATTAGTACTTTACTTATGTTTGATGTGCCTAAAAAAGGGGAATACGTCCGGCCTGGATGACGAAACACCAACACCATCTGGTACATTGTAGTGATTTTCATACGTATCTTTTAAAATAGTCTAGTCAGGTTCAGTATCTAGGATTGAAAAAGGCTTGCTTTTCGAGTTAACAGTTGAGCCTTCCTTTATAAAGTTAATTTGTTTTTTATTTGTGGTTAATCCTTTTTGGTCAAAAAAGCATTGTATTTTCTTTGTGCAAGTTACAAAACAAACTTTGCGGTTAATGATTTTAATAATGTTCCAGAAATAAGAGACACGATTAGCACAATAAAAGATGTCATCAATTTTTTCGTGAATCTTCTCTACGGAGAAAGTACGTGCCAAATATTCCAGCTCTTTGTGAGACACGCTGGTCACAAAAAAACAAAAGTATTGCTATATTTAACGATCATTTTGAGGGCATTCTCAATGGGTTTTTGGCAATTTCTAGAGAAGGTAATGCTGCAGCGAGAAGAAATGCTTACCACTTATATTGTGCTGCTACCAAGTAAGAATTTATTATATCTGCTGGTTTGATAGGAAAATACTCAGGAATATTGGAACCTGTTGCCAATGCCCTATATTCAAAGACAATAGACATGTATATATGAAAGAAGCATCTCAGTAACGCGGACCAGGAATTCCAATATGTCTTCGACACTTCTACGGAAACTGCAGCTGTCATTGGAACCGATTTACATATCCCGCGCATTGCATTTGGCCAACGATATCAGTCCAATCATCCTGCTAAGACTCCATGCGATTTTTGGAAGCGATCGATCTTCATTCCGTATTTAGATTCCCTTATATCCGCACTGGGACATCGTTTCTTTGATTAACATATGTTTATCAAAGAAACGATGTTCCAGTAGGCATATGCCTGCCTTCGGATTGATGATGCTGCATCCTGATGCGATGCCAATGAAATTTTCATTGGCTGAATTCAAACAGAAAACACAAAGTTTCAGCAGATACTATGGGTTAGAATCCTTTGATAATAAAGCTGATATAAACGATGGAAAGATGAGGTATGCCAAGAGAACACCTTAGAGAGCTGAACTTTGCAGAGTTGTTAGAGAAGGCGGAAACATTCTTTCCTTCAACCAGAAAACCTATACTAATTTCTTTGGCACTGTCTTGCACCACGAGCAATGTAGAGAGGTACTTCTCTACACTGCGGTGTAGTCAAAACGTGGTTGTGGTCGACGATGCTTGATCTTGATCTCTTAACATACATAGGACACATAAATGGCCTGTGTATGTTAAGTGTCCAGCGAAAGATGGTACAAGAAAATTTACATGCAATTTCAGGTGAAGTCTTGAAACGGTTCTGCGAAGAACCGAGAAAATTGCTCTTGTTTATTGTATAAAATTTAATTTTTGTAGCGAACATATTAATTTCGCTTGCCTGCCCCCCCCCCCTAAACTAAATCCTGGCTACGCCCTTGAATGAGTCACACGAATATTCTAATTTAATAAAAAAATGGATGCGTGTAACTTATGTACGCGCGTGAGAAGTTATACTTCTTTAGCATCATTAAAAATATTTTTTAATTGCATGCAAATAATTAATAATTACAATAAAATAATAAAAGGACTGGAAAAGGATAGTTAACACAGTCAATTAAGTTCAGTTTTAATTTGAAAAATTAAATAAATATTCAAAATATTCAATTAAAATCACTACTGAATTTAAGTTATTAGTCCATGTGTAATTAGCACTTGTAAGTAACTAAAACACGTTGTGTCTATATAGAAACTAGAAACATGTGGATAAATATTATAAATATGAAAACAGTGATGGCGACGAGCGTGCCAACATTGTTTTTGACAACGCGATCATCTTATGGAGCTCCGTGGATCGTTCAAAGTACCTTTCGAACAGATGTCTAATAATGGTGGATTATTAACCACTAAGTGGTTAATAATCCACCATTATTAGACACTAACATTCATAACGCGCCCGCGGCCAACTTCATGGTGTTACTATTGTGTTACAGTGATGCGCGCGCATCTTAAAATTTCACTCTTATAATTTTTTCATAACGCGGCTAAAGAAGTATAACTTCAAAAACGACGGGTTCCACTCCAGGAGTGCCGGCAGAAGTGAAAACTTGAATATTAATGTTGTGCATTTTTGATATTTTGGAATGGTTAGGGAATAATTATGGACGAATTGCTTTAATTATCAGTATAAAAGTACTATCATTTATGTGGTAGAATACAATATTTATTTATTGCGCTATCGTTCACAAACATGACAATTTATATTACATTAAAAAGTTTATCTCTCAGAAAAATCAACTTACATGAATCACATTTAAGCGCACCTAGCGACATCTATTGTAAAAAAAATGGGTGTGTGTACTTAAGTACGCGCGTGAGAAGTTATACTTCTTTTTGGAATTATTAAAAAATAGTTTTTAATTTCATGCAGATAATTAATTACAATAAGATAATAAAACGATTGGAAAAGGATAGTCAACGCAGTCAATAAAGTTCAGTTTTAATTTGAATAATTTAATAAATAATCAAAATATTCAATTTAAATCACTACTGAATAAAATTTATTAGCACATATAAATTTCGCATTTGTATAACATTATAACACGTGTTAAGAATATAGAAACTAGAAACATGTGGATAAATATTATAAATATGAAAACAGTGATCAGAGGCGACGAGCGTCCCAACATGTGCGACTAAGAGATCCTATTACTATTTTGTTGGAAGCTTTTTTTCGAGACTTACGAGTAATGTGCGGTTTAGCGGCCGACTTCATAGTGTTGCGCGCGCATCTTAAAATTTCACTCTCATCATTTTTTCATAACGCGCCCGCGGCTAACTTCATTATGTTACTTTTGTGTTACAGTGATGCGCGCGCATCTTAAAATTTCACTCTCATAATTTTTTCATAACGCGGCTAAATAAGTATAACTTCAAAAATGCATTTTCTTCGCAATAAAGCTGCCACCAGCCCCCCTAGCCTGTCTAACAAAACGCGATATGATAAAGTGATTTATCGACACTCAACTGTCAAACTCCATTGTAGTTTGACAGTTAATGTCGATAAATCGCTTTATCATATCGCGTTTTGTTACTCATGCTAGGGGGGCTGGACGTCCTAATTATAGACTTATTATTATAATACGATATAATAAAATATTACTATTTTTCGTCCAATATATTGAAAGTCAGCAACCTTTCCAATTTTATTGTTTTCGTCTTCCAAATTTTCGAATAGGTCACGTGTCCGGACGCAATCAGGCCACGTGTCATGACGCAATCAGGGCACGTGTCCTGCCGCGAGTTTAACAGTTTTTACCCATTACAAAGAAGTATACAACGCCGCTAAAGAAGTTTTCACTTCAAAAAAGACAATTATTAAAACGAAAGACCAGACTGTATGGACATTGTTTCTTTTGCGTTCCCTGAAAAGGGAGAATCTCAAAAAAAACCATGACAAACGAAATTGATTCGACGTTTCAGATTCGATGCCGGCATTTCTGGCTATTTGTGTTTACTTTAAGTAGACTTGACATCAGTCTGTCCTTTTCATTCTTTATAGAACACGATAAGGACAGATTGTTATCTCTTACAAATAGCAAACACGAATAGATTAGTGATGGATGTTTATATTTGCTTCACAGTTTGTGTTGTGAAATTGTGATTGTAAAACAAAAATATATTAGAAATAATATTAATAATTAACTTTTAACAATTATGGAGGAAGGAAATTCAATAATATACGGTCTTGAACACCAGGTAAATATATTTACTGTGATTGAAAGTGGAACACACCTTATAAAGTTATTATGTATAAATAAAAGTAAGCCTTATTTAATACTTTTCAAACAAAATCTCAAAATATGATACTGTTAAAGAACTATCCACTCATTACTAAAGCATATCTTTTATGTAGGGCTTTTTGGTAAACAATTTTAAATAAAAGCTTAGCAAAACTCAATTACATGTACTAAAAATTTGAAATATCTACAGACAAGGGCCTTGTCGCCTCAATATGGAGAGAATGATGCCATTCGGTTCCTCATTGGCACACAAAGTTTGAAACCTGAATCTAACCAAGTTCATGTGGTGGAGTTAGAAGAAGACACTGGAGCTTTACATACTAAGGTATTATCACTTATACAATAAAGAAAGTTTGGGTAAAACTGTACTTCCAGGGCCCAAAAGATGATACTTGTTTTTTTTTTTGTAGAAAAGGTCTTTTTAACATATTTTTTTTCTGGCGCTTCGCCAGCCGCTGCCGCGGCACGCTCGCTTTGCTCGCTCGGCTCGCGTGTTATGGTCACAACACTAACCTAACCTAACCTAGTGTGAAGTATCACCACTTGATAAGAAAAGTAAAAATTTTCAATATTTTTTTCTAAAAAACTACCAGTGCGTAAGTGTGACATTTTTTTTAATAATGTGGTTAACAGAAACCTTTTTAACAACAAAAATGCGAAATTACAACCAACAAGACTGTGAAGTTTTTACTTTTGGGCCCTGGAAGTACAGTATATATCCGTATTATCACTTATACAATAAAGAAAGTTTGAGTAAGCAATATTCATCATCATCATATTATCACTTTTTTAATATAGAAAGTTTGAGTATTAGCAATTTTCATCATCATCATCATTAGCCTATTAATTATTAAAAATTATTCACTCTCAGTTAGATTCTCCCTACCTATTGTCCCATATTAGTTTTAATATTAATTATCGCTTTAGAAAGCCTATGACATTTTTTCTTCCTGTATATCCCAATAAAACTTCTTATTATAACCCTATATCACGTATGTGTCGCCAATATAATGAACTCATCGTTAATGGAGCAGAAATAGATATATTTGATCGTAGATCTTTAGTATTTAAGGAGAATCTAATTGCTAATTTGTAACATTTATAATTATTTAAACTATTGCTAGTATTCAATTTAAAAAATAAAAATATAATATGATTTGGCTGTAGCTTGGCATGTCAAGCACTCTGTTATTATTATTTAGTCACTCAGTATGTACATATTAAAGGTTACATCCTTGTTTTTTGTGTGATAATGAACATAATTTTGTACTGAATGTTTATCACCTGTTTGTACATCAAATAAATAAATAAATTAATGTCCCCACTGCTGGGGCACAGTCCTTCAATATGGAATGAATAGGGAGTTTGGGCCATGACCCACCACACGGGCCCAGTGCGGATTGGCAGGTGCTAACAACTGCAGAAGCAGCCGGGACCAACAGCTTAACGTGCTTTCCGAAGCACGAAAGAGCTTGAGATATAAAATTTTTGGTCACCCATCCAATGACCGACCACTCTGAAAGTTGCTTAACTTTAACAATCGCAGCAGAAAGCGCTAACCACTTGCGCAATCAAGCTCTTCAATATTACAATGCTTTTAATTGTGAGATAATCAAAACTGAATATTGTAAGATGCGCTGATAAATTTTGAATTCTTTGAGCTTAAAGTAAACCGCGCCACCTGGGGCCGGATTTAAGGCGGGGCTGTAGTCCAGGGATTCTGTATTTCCCACAAGACAGATAAAAAAAACTAATTTCGATTGATCACCAAACCAGGGGGATGCAAATCCTAACTGGTCTGGCCCAGTCCACTTCTTCGTTGCCCCAGGGTCCCCATAACAATATTTGCATTCTTAAACATAACTATTGAAGCAAACACTAAAAATTAAAAAAAACAAGAAATGTACCAACATATAATTTTCTCATCCAGATACAATTGCATAGATGTTTCTAATTGGAAACTTTCATTTTAAGAATATGCTTTTGGACATAAAGTCCAGAAGCGATGATATTAAATGGGTAATCCTTATTTATACCTCTATACATGTCTAATGCCGCTTTTGACTTTTGAAACTTTGAGATTTTAAAACTAAAAAAATAGATTATACAGTGCAACCTTTATATAACCTCAATATGTCGACTTCCTTGATTGAACAATCTTCGTTATCCCCTTGAATTTTCCATAAGAGTCAATGTAAAATATACTTTTACATTGCGAAAAAAAATTGCGAACATCCTTTTTATAACAAATTTTCAACTATCAAAAAAAGAGTAAATAGCTCTAAATAATGAATTTTGTCAACCAAAAACCTCTATAAAACATTTCCATCAATATATGGCCCTTAATCCCATAGTACCTTATTCATGTCACGACAAGAAACTATTTTTTACCTCTTTATAACAAATTTTAGACCAACCTAACCTCAATATAACAAACCTCAGTTTAAAAAATTACTCGATATAACAAATATTTACTTGTTTCCTTCCAATTTGTTATATCGAAGTTGCACTGTATGATGTGAATGTATAATTTTGTTTTTGCTTTTTCTCAGGTGTTCAAACATGACATCGGTGAGATATGGCATCTGCGGTGTTCACCACATGACGCTGCAACCCTCCTCACCACACACAACTCGTATGATCCCAACACCTCACAGTGCACTATGGGTGTGTCCGTATTTAAACTGCCCACTGTTGAAGTAAGAACTAATTTTTATCACAAATAATAGGATATTTGACATTGTTAAAAATAAAGTGCCAATTGTTAGCATCTGTGTTTAGAATGAATATGGCAGGGGTTATCACTATTTTTACAATAAAAACATTCATGATTTTACTAAACACTAACGAAAAAGATAATAGTGTTCTTATCTATTGTCACGTGATCCAAAACGCTTGGGATTGGCCGAGCCTAAAATGACGTCACACGCAAGTAAACTTCCGGTTAAAGTGACATTACATTGTATCGTTTAACGTCTTAATAGCAGTCGTGTGACGTCACACACTAGTAAGACGCCATATTAGTCCAGAGAAATGTTTTCGCGGCAAATTGAAAATGGAGTTTTTGATTTGGTTATTTTTACTGAAATACACAACAAAATGATGAATATCCACTTTTTACGGACTCCATAAACATTACTCAATAACGTCAGATCTTTTCTAAAACTTGTCAAATACCCTATTGATTATGAAAGTTAAGTAACTGATTGATGCTAAGAATCTATGCCTATCCAAGATACATTGTGTCTCTATACTAAAATTCATCAAAATCGGGTTAGTGTTTCAATTATGATAGCGTAACAGACATTCAGTAATGCTTGCACAGCACAGCTTTAATGTAAGTAAATATATTTCTAAGATCCTTAAGTTACATTAAAAAATATCTTCTAGCAAAATATGTATTGTTTATATTGAAACTAAAGAACAAATATTGTACGTACAACATATTTTAGGTCATCCCGAAAGATCTTGATGACCTCAGTGCAATACAAGGGAGGAACCCTGAAAATATGGAGCTGATGACAACAATTAGACCAGAGGTAAGTTAAACTGGGGGACTAATGAGGGCTATCGCGTATGAATCCGCCGCTAGAGGCGCTAGTGTAGCGTGAGGTCTCCGAAATGTCAAATGTTATTGCTTGTTGGTTGACTACGCGGGTTTATTTCTTTTATAAAATAATGTTGTGAATAATTGGTAACAATTCGGCTTAATTATGGCAAATATGAGTTATGTGGCAATGAATGTCAGTTATTAAAAATTTGAGCTTAGAAAAATGATTATGTTCCCATTTTTTCCGAATAAAACGGAACCGGGCGTCACTGTGGCATGGCCTATTATATTTAGGATATGGTTCTTTTGTGTTAAAATGCGATCTAAATGTAACCTTTGATTTACGTATTAATAAACTTTAAAAGTTACAATTTAGGACCTCACTCAACAGTGGCGCCATCTGGTGAGACAGAAAACCGTAGCCCTCATTGAGTAATTTTTTGCTTCCCACGAACCCTGAATAATAATAATTAAGCCTTTTATTTAATCCATATAGGTTATTTACATTATGAAAGAAGTTGTTAGTTTGTTAGTTGTAGTTCTTGATTGTTAAGTTAGTATTATTGGCATTATATATTACTAAGTACAATATTTATACACACTGCCGGATTTAGGGGAGGGTAACCGGGGCGAAAGCCCCGGGGCCTCCACAAACGGGGGCCCCCCACAATTGAGACTTCGGAAAAAAAAAACTTTCAAATTCCAACTAGTAAACACTAGTATCTTTTCCTTTGATATTATTTTTGCTCTTTTTCCTTTACCTACAGCCTACAGTACTTTGAACATCTAACATACATGATTATATTAATCTTAAATAACAGAAATCATTGATCTATATTTGTTCACTCCAATCAGGCAATCGGTGAAAAATCAAAATCTCAAATGGCCCTGATAGGCACTTCCAATTCACTACCCATCTTGAGGGAGTACCCCAATCGCTTAATGGCTGAGTGGGATGGTACTTGCCCGCAACCTCGGAGGTTGGGCATTCGATTCCGTGTCTCGACAATTTTTTTTATATATATATATATATATATGTACATATGAATGAATTACAGTATATGAACTATCGGTGTTCTTCAATTCTTAAACAAATCAATTATTATTGACTAATTGGTCGACTGAAAAAAAAATGTTTACTTTATTTGGAAAATAATTTGGGGTGAGGGGGCCTCCGCTCCTCTGTTGCCCCGAGGCCTCTGGACCTCTAAATCCGGCCCTGTTTATACATTGCTAGGGCAGTCGCTCATACAAAATTATACCATGTCTTGCTTCAAATGCGTTTAATTAACAAACATTGTTTAGATATCTGTCGAACAACGACACTTTACATACTATAAGTATTTTTCGCTTTTTTTACGGAGCTGAGAAAAATGGGAAAGATATAATATTTTTTATTAACTGACATTCATTGCCACGTAACTCATATTTGCCATAATTAAGCCGAGTTATTACCAAATAGGTATTCACAAAATTACTTTAATTAGAAATAAACCCGCGTAGTCAACCCACAAGTAATAACATTTGACATTTCGGAGACCTCACGCTACACAAGCGCCTCTAGCGGCGGATTCATACACGATAGCCCTCATTGATTGACGGCTGCATGAGCGTTCAGCTCCCCAAGATACCTGCTAACTACAGCCGAGGTCCGAGTCTCAGAGACGCCCTCTAGTTGAGCCGACCCCCTCAGGTTCGAGTGGTCTAGAGGCTCCAGACGGAGAGGAGACTCCTCCCGTGGGGAGATGCCATCCGCCTAGAGGCACTCGCCAATTCTCGGCTTGAGGTCCCCTTAGGATTTCGCCGTTCCCAAACCCGGTGACGCTGTAAAGGTCATCTGCGACCAACACTCAAAAAATGCGTCTCATGCAGCGTTGCCATTGATACGGCAATCACCGTAATATACGGCAATTTGAGCTCATTATTTCAGATTATACGGCATACGGAAGGTTTTGTCATTGCCGTATAATAATACTAACTACCTATAAATTTTAATAAATAAAATTAGGTAATACGACAAAATCACGATTTTTATTTAAATATACATATACGCCATTCGCCTGACGGGTTTGCTTTGGAAAACGCTATCGCTTACGATTTCATTTTGTAATTTCTAGCCACCTGAGGTTTTCAAATGCCTCGCGCTCTTTTTTTTTCTTCTGCATTGGTAATAACAATATTAAAGAAAAAAGAGCGTGAGGTATTTGAAAACCTTCGGCAGTCAGAAATAATAAAATGAAATCGTAAGCGATAGCGTTTTGAAAGCAATTTTCAGGCGAATGGCCCCCTGGTCTCATGAGTGTCTTACTCATACAGAAGTCGGGTGAAGAGATCCGTTGTGGGGAATGGCATCCCACTGAAGCTAGCCGTATAGGCGTAGTGTATGAAGGCGGGGTTAGCGTACATGATGTAACAAAGGGCGATGTGGTGGCCACTACGGCAACGCAGGCGAGGGCGAGGCAAAACCTTACCGGGGGCAAGTGGAACCCGCATCAGGGGCATACGCAGGTGGGTACATTTAGGCGTTGAGCAGACGACGGGGCGGGCCGGGCATTTTGTCCGCGAAGCAATAAAGACCGCGTCTGCCCGTCGATGTCTGCGGCTGCCCGCGCCGCGTACACAAAGCACACGACGGGCAGAGGCGGTCAGTTCAGGACGTTCGTTCTAGTGAATAGTCCATCAATAAAAAGCGCGTGGCGCGGACTTTGCTGACCGCCCCGCGCCGCCGTCTGCGTTACTGCATATAAACTGGTTTGTATGATCCACGGCGGGCAGCCGCGGACATGCCGCGTGGCCACTGCCCGCCGGGCACCCAAGGCGCGGTCTTTTTGCCCTCTGTGTGCGTTTGAACTTTAGCACTTTGTGCTATTATTCGCGGCGAAATTGACCGGCCCGTCCCGCCCCCGTCGTCTGCTAAACGCCTTATTATTTACTAGCGGCCGCCCGCGGCTTCGTACGCGTGGAGTTAGAAATAAAGGTTCACCGCTCGTTCCCCGTAGGTGATAGCGTGATAATATGTAGTAGTGATGTAACGATTATCCGCATTCGCATTCGCGAATATTCGTATATTTTTGAATATTCGCATTCACATTCGCATTCGCAGAATCTCTGCGAATGTTTTGCGAATATGAATAAAAAAAAAACAATTTGAAAAAGTTGTAGTTCTTCCTTTCCTTGAATATTCATTGTTACACAGCTTGCATTTAGCTCGTTCAGCATCGCAAAGTGTGAAATAAGTCCATATTTCACTAAAATTTGATTTGCTCATGTTAATTAATCACTATTCAAACTCTAACCTCAAAATTCACTTGTTTTCTTTACGAAAAGACCGGCACGAGCGGAATGACACTTCAGTCGGATGAGTTCTTATCAACTCGGCAATTCGAACGAGACTGCCACCATGTCATAGACAATTGGCGCCAATTTTGAACAAAAACATATATATTCGCATTCGCGAATGTCGGTACCTGATTTTAGAAAAATTAGAATGTTAAAAAAATTACATTCGTTACATCACTAATATGTAGCCTATATATGTTGACCCGACTTCTTAATAATATTCTTGCCACATTTGAAGGAAATCCAAGTATTTATTTAAAAAAAAATTCAATGTACAGTTTTGACTTTCCTATCATTTTATTATATGTATAGATATCCCTCACAATATCAAAACATATTGGGACTTGTACCTGCAAGCTACTGTAATTAATATGAATGGTATCCCGGAATGTTACAGTTCGCAGTACTACAGGATATGCATATAAAGTGTTACGACACTCGCACAGACTGCACCAAACCGTCGTGGAGCATAGACAACGCGCACAAACAACTAGCCAGAGACCTCGACTTCAATCCAAACAGGTATGTCTAATTTCCTAATATATTGGTAGAATCCGTAACACCGCGGCCCCGATGGCCGTGTCGAATTTTCTCTAGCATTTCTTAGGCTGCATGGCAGAGCCATCTCTTTGCATTCTTGTTAAAAAATGCAAAGAGTAGGCGCTTACTTAATATTATAAATTTGAAATATTTGTATGTTTGAATGTTTGTTAGTCAATCGCGCAAAAACTACTAACTGGATTTAGATGAAATTTGGTACGCATATAGTTTATGACCTGGATTGGGACATAAGTTTTTTTTTAATCCCTATAAACAGTTATAATGCGATTCAAATAAAAATAGGAAAGCCAATGACCTGCTTGAAAAGTACGGTTTGCAAAAAAAACTTGAAATCTTTTTTTAGCACTCATCTAATTCTAGAATAAAAATCAAACATTTGTAAACAAACAATAACAAATATTGATAATTAATATTGGTTGATATTTTTTTTCATTTATTGAGCTTTGGCTATGAATGTTTGTTAACCTAAATCGTCAACCAAATGTCATTTTAAGTTGCGTTCAGAAACTCGATTTGAAACTTTCGTTTACATAAAGGATGCATGTTCGTATGTGACCTAGTAATAGTGCATGATTATTCATAATCATAACTACTCCGGTGGTAATGCAGAGATGAGCGGAATTGAAAAGCTCAATTCTGATTAATGTTTTTTCTCACACAATCTTAATAAATAAATATTATTAAGAATCGGTTGTTTTCTTTTCTCAATCTCAGTAAATAAGTTTTATTAAAAAAATCTTATGCTATTTCTCACTTAATCTTAGTAAATAAGTTTTATTAAATAAAAACTTTTTTTGCTCACTCTACCTATTTGGTTTGAATTGACAGCTATGACGTCACAATATGGCGCCCAGTCGGTCCTATTCTTAGTTGAATCGCATTATACATCCTGAAGTCTTTTCACAAAACTAAAGTTATCGTGGACGAAGATATACTCATTTTAACAAGTATAAATAAATTTAAATTATTACTGTATTGACTGACCTAGAACGAAATCAGCCAGAATTTATCTGTAAAATTGACTATTACAAATCATAGACTAAAGTTAAACGTGGACTTAAACTGAAGCTGTCACTTTTGCTTGCTAGAAAGAAGACAGAGCCTACATTAGGTTCGACTCACTTTAGCCCGCGTTTTGGAATACGGTGATTAGCGACTTCATCTACAAATTGTGAATAATGCCCTAGATATTTCATAATATTTGAGTTAAGATCTAAAGAAAATTTTACTAGAAAAAAATCCACGCGGACCAGGCAGCAGACGGGACTCAAACCCGCACCCTTCGGTATCCGGACGATTGTTTAATTAATATATTGTTTGATTCTTGTAAAGGTATTCATTTGAAATTGTGGGTTACCTACAATGCTAAGAGATGGCACTGCCTTGCAGCCTTAGAAATGCTAGAAATAATTAGACTCGGCCATCTGGGCCGCGGCAGCATAATGGTCGGTGCATTCAGCCCCATAGCGAAGAGTCCAGGTTCGAGTCTCGTCTGCTGCCTGGATCGCGTGGATATACAGGGTGGTGTAAGTAAATTAAATATTTATTTAATAAAATAGGAACCTTTACTAAATTCACAGTTTTTAAAAAAATCGCCTGCCAAAACCAGGAATCAAACTCGTGAAATGAGGAACAAAAAATAACACATGTATTTTATGATAACCGTCGAAAGGTTTGATCATTAGGATTATTTAACATAGCATATTAAATGAAAGGACGATCATGAAATTAAAATTTTTTTTGGTCAGAAAAATTTCCTCATACTTTTCCGTGCTTTTCCTCCGTGGGACACCCTGTATATCCACGCGATCCAGGCAGCAGACGGGACTCGAACCCGGACTCTTCGCTATGGGGGTGAATGCACCGACCATTATGCCACCGTGGCCCTGACGGTCGAGTCGAATCTTTGTGATTTTTGTGTGATTTTCAGGCAGTTTCATTTGGCGAGTGCGGGAGATGATGCCGCCCTTAATATTTGGGACTACAGAAACGGCAGGGAACCCATATTCAGCAGGACGGATCATTCGCACTGGTGAGTTTATTGGCATAAACTAAACTTCACTCTTTTGCAAATAAACTGGGCCACTTCATCTTCATCATCAGCCTATTAATGTCCCCACTGCTGGGGCACAGGCCTTCCCTATGGATGGAATAAAGAGATTGGGCCATGACACCACGCGGGCCCAGTACGGCTTGGTGAGTGCTAACGACTGCAGATGCAGCCGGGACCAACGGATTAACGTGCCTTCCGAAGCACGGAGGAGCTCCAGATAATAAATTTTTGGTCACCCATCCAATGACCGACCACTGCGAAAGTTGCTTAACTTCAACGACCGCAGCCGAACGCGCTAACCGCTTGCCTTCACGGAACTCTGATTTGATTTTCTCAAAAAGTATTAAACTTACAACTATCAAAATTATAACTACAGAAAGTGCGTTTCGTGGTGATTAAAATGAAATGGAATTTATTGAGATTAATCAATTAACTAAGTAAATGACAATGGGCAAAACACACCCAGCTCCGCCAACAATGTAATTAGTATGAATCGATAGATCTATGAAAAAGTAGCCTTTTTTATTATGACACAGTAAAAAAATATCCTGGGAGTCAAAAGATATGACACAGTAAAAAATATCTTGGTAGTCAAAATATATGACACATGGACATATTTAAGTAGCTAAATAAATTCATTTTATAGTACCTTTATTTTATATTATTAGTAACCATAATAATATGCATTATCGTCCTATACAACCAGATATCAGAAGAGCCTGCCGGCCATCCTGCGCTTGCACTTACTGAGCCACCTCAAAAAGGTTTTCGGGGGTTGAAGGACTTGCAGTTGCAAATAGTCGACTCGTCTTACTTCGTTGTGATTGTGCGCTCTCTGTCACTTGATTGATTTTTATCTAACACGCTTTGGACATTGGAACACGATTATCGGTTTTGTAAATTAGTATGGATGAACTGGAATCATGTTTTCTCCGAAGCGTGGACAAGTTTGGGTGATTTGTGGTCGCTCCATTTTACAAAGAAAACAATTTACTATGTATCAGTGGCGTAGCATGGGGGGGGGGGGGGGGGTGCGGTCCGCACCGGGCGGCACTTTGCCGGGGGCGGCGCTGCGGAGGCGGCAGATAGAGAAAAAAAATTAAAATATAAAAAAAAGTTAATTTCTTTCAGTTTTTTTTCGTCATTTTTTTGTTGTTGTTACCAAATACCCAGGTACCTATGCAGGTTCTATGCATGGATGATGCTTTTACCATGCCTCAATTTTTTTATAATGGATTGCAAAAATAAGAGGGCGGCAAATTTGGAATCCGCACCGGGTGCTAGTGACCTATGCTACGCCACTGCTATGTATAACGAACAGAATGTTTGAAAAAACCCCAACCCATGCGGGGATTTTTGGATTTACTATAGTGCGGCAGAATAACATAAGGGGGCATCCTTGAACCTTGTTAAGTACTCCCATAATACTTGAGCCCCCTATGTAGTGTCGAACTAACTAACTAAATTAATTCCATTGTTTCATTAATGTTCGTTCGTTATAGTACTTGTACTTATTTAACTTAAAATAAGTAAAGACCCCCGGGATGGAATTTGATGCGCTTTGGCACAGATGATCATGACTATAATACCTTTCAAACAAATGTAGTTTAATCCGTGGCGGATGTGGGTGCAGCGTCCATAAATTTTTTGCCCAATGTCCTTTTTATTTAAAAAAAATAGCCAAGTAAGAATCGTTTTCCAATTGTGGTATTCGGAAGTAAGGAACGAAGCAAAAATACTCACGTCTAAGAAAAATATCGAAAAAAACTAAGGAAATGATAAGAAATATCAGACTATCTTCATTTTATAAAAAAAGAACGATAATCGCGACTTTTTAAAAAAAATTGCAAATTGTTAGCATTGCTGTTCTTGCTCGATTGCAAAGTAAGTTGACAGTACTTTATAAATTAATTTTTACTCATATTAATAGTTATTATGAAACACACTTTCTGTAGATATAGCTTTAATAATTGTTAGTTTTTTGAAAAAATCGCATTTGAGTTCCATGGTTCTAGCGGTTGGCCCAGTTTGTTTGCAGTCGAGTGTATCTCAGTGTCGCCGCACACGGGCCACCGACCACAACCACAAAACGCCGCCACCGGCATATTTCTATTTGTAGTTTTACACGCACCCATATTTATGGTTTTAGTATATCTTTATATATATAATTCTTCTGTGAGTGTCTATGTCACTGAACTTCTCTTAAACGACTGGACCGATTTTGATGAATTTTTTTGTGTGTGTTCAAGGGGATCTGAGAATGGTTTAGATTCACAATTTTGCCCGCTGGACAATGTTTTTTTAATTAATTTTTTTTATGGCGGTACAAAGTTCGCTGGGTCAGCTAGTCTAATATATAAAACTAGCAAACCAGTGAACCAAATGTTCACCAAAACCTGATTTCTCGAAAACCGGAAGTGCTACGTTACTCAAATCCGGTTTGTAGTCTTATCAGACTATTCTTAACTTATAACTTAAATATTCTCTTTATCTATCTCTTACGGTTTGGCCGCTGAAACAGCACCACAGACAGACGGACTTGTCTAATAGATAAGAGATTCTCGTGTCGCGGTGTTTGTGGTTAAACTCCTCCGAAACGGCTTTCCCGATTCTCATGAAATTTTGTGTGCATATTGGATAGGTCTGAGAATCGGACAACATCTATTTTTCATCCCCCTAAATGTTAAGGGTAATCCACCCCTAATTTTTTTTTTTCAATTTTAGATATTATTTTTTTTATGATACATCATACAAAAATACCCTATATTTGCACCTTTCTACCACCAACCCCTATTTTTTAGGGCGGTACGAAGTTGGCTGGGTCAGCTAGTTATTTATATTATCCTATATCCAGGGTGTGGACAGTTCGCTACAACACTTACCACGAGCAGTTACTGCTGACGGGCAGCTCTGACGCGCGAGCCTTACTAACTGCTGCGGCCAGCGTGTGTAAAGATTTGGATGAAGAGGCTGCGAAGATCAGTCAAGCGTAAGTATTTATTTATTTTATTTTTATTAGACACACCAATAACAATATCACAATTATTACATAAAAAGAAAAACAAATGGGTATTACAAGTCTATGTGAATTATTTTTTAAGGTGCATACAGCAATTTTCCATACATTTTTTGGCACAATATTAGGCTCTAATTAGTTGGTTACATAAATCCTTAGAAGCTTTGAGTTCTCTCAAAGTCAGTTGAAGTTTAGACTCCTCTTGAGGGACAGAATTTTTACTTCAAAAATATTACTCAAGTGACTGTAAGAACCATTATTCCTTTGCTTTTTTCTAAATAAAAAACCAAATGTCAAATTTTAGACACACCAATAACAATATCACAATTATTACATAAAAAGAAAAACAAATGGGTATTACAAGTCTATGTGAATTATTTTTTAAGGTCCATACAGCAAGTTCCATACATTTATTGGCACAATATTAGGCTCTAAAGTTATTCTTCAAATATCTACATGAAGTAAGTTAATTGTTACTCATAGAGATATCTGTTACTCAATCGAAAATATTTTCTTTTTCAATGCTGAGAAAGATAGGTGACAGATATCAATTTCATCGGATTTATCGTCACACGTCCCCATCAATCGACTTATGGGTAGTATAGACATCTCCTTGCTATACTCTATTCATCTTCCTCAGATACAAAATATAAACAAATAAACCAATGCTTAAATTTAAATTAAATATTGCTAGAAATAAATCTACGCGGAACAGGCAGCAGACGGGACTCGAACCCGCACCCTTCGCTATCCGGCAAGGGCGGATCCAGCTTTGGTGCCAGGGGGGGGGGGGGGTCATATAGCCAGCTTTGGTGCCAGGGGGGGGGTCATATAGTCGTGGTATATTAAATATTGAAAGTACTTAAATAAAATCCCCCTGGGTTTGGTCCATCTGTACCCAGCCCAAGGGGGGGTCATGGCCCCCATGACCCCCCCCCCCCTGGATCCGCCCTTGCTATCCGGCCGAATGCACTGACCATTATGCTATGGCGGCCATGATGTCCGTGTCGAATTCTTTCTAGCCTTTCGTAAGCTGCAAGGCAGCGCCATCTCTTCGCATTGTAGGTAACCAACAATGTCAAATGAATACCTTTGCAAGTATTCAACATTTGAAAGAACATTAAAAAATAATAATAACTATAATTGCTATTTCTTCTTCCAAATGTTTAAATATGCGAAGAGATGCGCTGCCTTGCAGCCTAAGAAAGGCTAGAAAGAATTCGACACGGATCTCATGGCCGCCATAGCATAATGGTCAGTGCATTCGGCCGGATAGCGAAGGGTGCGGGTTCGAGTCCCGTCTGCTGCCAGTTCGTTATTATTAAAAATAAAATGATATTTTCTTTCAGTAATAGTATCTTCAATATTTAATACTAGCAAACCAGTGAACCAAATGTTCACCAAAACCTGATTTAAAAAATGTATTTAATTAATTGAGAACTTCGGAGATTTTGTGTGGTTTCGTTTGAAATTCATTAGTTAAAAAATTTTTTTACCTTTTAATAGTTAATTAAAATTGTGATAATTACAAAATAGAAATCACGTGATTTCTCGAAAACCGGAAGTGCTACGTTACTCAAATCAAGTTTGTAGTCTTATCGGACTATTCTTAACTTATAACTTAAATATTCTCTTTATCTATCTCTTACGGTTTGGCCGCTGAAACAGCACCACAGACAGACGGACGGACGGACTTGTCTACTAGATAAGAGATACTTTCCCTCTGTGTGACAAACCCGTGGGACGCCTTGTATAGGTTATAATAATTTGTCTTCTGCCTCAGTCTAGAAGACGGCGTTCTCCAATCGTACGAGCAGCACGAAGACAGCGTATACGCCTGCGAATGGAGCGCATCCGAACCTTGGACCTTCGCGTCTTTAAGCTACGACGCTCGCCTTGTACTATCGCGAGTGCCCAGACACTTCAAATACAAGATACTGCTCTAATACAACCGTTATATGACTAATAGCTTCTGTATATTCTGTTAAATAGCTATTATAGACCTCAGTTGTGTACATTCCTTGCGCGAGAATAATGTGAAAAGAATGGAATAAATTTATTTTTTCAATAGGGTATTTGACAGTTAAAAATAAAGTGCTAATTGTTAGCTTCTGTATTTATGATGAATATTGGCAGGGGTTATTATTACAGAAAAAATATTCATAATTTTACTAAAAAACCCACGAAAAAGATAATAGTTTTCATATCTATTGTCACGTGATTGAAAACGCCTGGGATTGGCGGAGCCTGAAATGACGTCACACACTAGTAAACTTCCGGTCAAAGTGACATTACTCAGTATCGTTTGGCGTTTTAATGACAGTCGTGTGGCGTCACACACCAGTGAGACGGCATTTTGCCCAGAGAAACGTTTTCGCGGCAACTTGAAAATTTGAGTTTTTGATCTAGTTATTTTTACTGAAACATACAAGAGAATGAAGAATATCCATTTTTATGGACTCCATAAACATTATTAAGTAACGTGAGATCGTTTTCCGAAACTTGTCAAATACCCTATATTTTTTTTAAAACATTTAACTGCTAGATGTTTAAATCTAAAGAAAAGTTTTACTAGAATAAAAAACCACGCGGACCAGGCAAAACTAATAAAGGTAATAAAAACATAACTATAATTGCTATTTCTTCTTTCAAATGTTTAATACTTGAAAAAGTATTCATTTGATATTGTGGGTTACCTACAGTTCGAAGAGATGGCGCTGCCTTGCAGCTTAAGGCTAGGAAAATTTCGAGCGGTAGCATAATTGGTCAGTGCATTCGCGCGGATTGCGAAGGGTGCGGGTTCGAGTCCTATCCGCTGCCTGGTCCGCGTGGATTTTTTTTTTCTAGTAAAACTTTTCTTTAAATACCCTAATGTTTAATAAAATGTTCTTTTTATATATATTATTATATATTCTTTGCTTTGATCACAATTCAAATACAAACACAACTTTTACAGAACTCAATTGTGAGAATTTTTTAGTAGACAATGATGTGAAGTGAATCTGTATTTATTAAAGTAATAATGGAAATAAAATTGTCGTTTAATTTTCTCGGCACCTTCTTTCCGGTTGACTGGTAGACAATGCTATCCTGGCATTAAGTCCGCCATTTGCATTGTGAAGGCAATAAATATTAAATAAATAAAATTATAATATATCTTGTTTTTACCAAAGTTTTGTTATTATCTCCTTTGATTCACATTCTAAAAAGCAATTTAACAAAGTAGTACATTTTTATGATTATAATTAATATGATGGAATATTGCTCGCACCTTTGGGATGGCTCCGCCAAGTACTTGCTCGATGCTTTGGATAGGTTACAGCAGCGCGCGATTCGAATCATAGGTGATGAGGTGACTAAACCCTGAGCCTCTTCAATTACGCCGTGACGTGGCGTCCATAAGCGCGTTCTATCGTCTGTACCACGGCGAGTGTTCTGAGGAGTTATTCTCTCTTCTTCCACCTTCCCCTTCGCGTCTGGACTTCACCTTCACTTAACATCAGGTGGGGTGGAGTCATTTGTCGGACGTACCTATAAAAATATAGGTAGATTGTGTATAAGTACGCCAAAAATAAAAACCCGTCAAAGTGGGTTGGTAACGTATAAATACCAAATCATATTACACGTCGAGACATCCCAACACAAGTATCAATTATTACTTTCTGGGTTGTCTCAACTTGTCCTGTAAACTGACTCTTTGGGAAATAAAAACCATTTTCATTTTTTCACATGTAATTTACTTGGATCTTTGTTGTGTTTTAATAGTATTGACCTTAAGGAGTACTTTGGTACACTAAACTAATTTTGTGGGTTGGATCCTTTTCATATATTTTACTGTGATGCTAAGAAAATAAACATTTGGTCTAAGATCTGAACGTACATCAACCTAATTAAAAAAAGTCCATTGAGGATTTTTTAGGCAACACATTTTAATAATATTTTGAAATATACTAAAGTCATGATAAAATATCTATCATTTATTATCGGCTTGGTGAAGGTCGATGTAGGTTCAGATCTTCTGCAAATTCTTGTAGGTCTGACAGTGGGTATCAACCAGCAGTGCAAATGGGTTAAAAAAAACAATCTTAACATAAATATATATATATTTAATTTAAAAAACTTAAAACCTTTGCGCCACTCTATTGGCGACATTTCTCAAGTTACCATAAACCTTTGAAGGCGGTGATCCCATAATCAAGTTACATATAGCTCGCCTAGCCAAAGCTATATTTTGGTAACTGCCTAGGATATGAATTTTCGAATCTGCTAATACTATTCTAGTTTTTGTCACGTTCTCTATGGTGAATTTGGTTCTGCCAGCTTTGCCAGCCAATCGACCGATAGCACGACCCAAATGGTCACCTTGTAGGTTTTTCACATCCTTTATTTCAAAAGACTCTACGAATAAATCGTCAAGCCTTAGTAAGGCTAATGCGTCTTCAACTTCAAATCCTAAGATGAATGCCTGAAATATGATAAACCAAAATTCAGAATAAACAACAGGGTCAAAGAAATAAAACAAGTTACAACGGGTTAGAAGTAATTTCTTTGCATTCCTGCAAAGGATGCGAAACGTCAAAAAATAAATAAAATCAGTGCATCTAACCCATTGAAACTTGTTTTATTTAATGAGTGATTGAAACGAAAACAGTGCAAAGGTAACTTCCCATATTACAAATTAAGGAGTAACTTTGCAACACTTTCACTTCTAATTATTACTTCTATTTATTTAAGTATTCGTGATTATTAGTATTGTTATTTTATGTTTTTTAGTGTGTATGTGCTTTTTTTATTATGTTATGTTTATTTTATTACTTGTTAATGTTATTGTTTTGTGTCATCACTAAACCGGTTCCAACGGAAGACCAGCGTAGATGGCAACATCAGCACATTCTGAGTTGGGCCTGATTTGAGACAATTATGTGTATGTTTTGTCTATATATTTTTTTACTGTTGTTTTGTCTCAAATAAATTTATTTTTCTTTCTTTCTAAACCAAAACACCAATTTCGATTAATCTTGGTTTGGAGAAATATGTGCATCCTAGGAAGGGGGAGTCATCAAAATAGAAAATGAATATAATTCTGTGTTCACAGACACTCACTGATGGTCTTATTTATTTAAAGTAGCCATATAACTTATGGCTTGATTCTCTAAACTTAAAACTAAAGTTTATCAGTATCTCCATTTCATTCTGTACAGAGAATGACAAGGATACACTGTTGTCAAATTTCATTTTAGATTTAGAAAATCATGCCTGAATCGACACCAATGAAACACTAAATTGTGAACATACCTTCACGAAATCTGCTGCTTTTTGCAAATTGGCAATATCTTTTGTCTCCGGGCCAATTTTGATTTCCACATTCCGAGTTTTGGTGTTAAATCTAACTTGTAGCAGTAGGTGCTCCACAATAGGTGTGAAGATTTTAAGCCAACTCTCTTTTAAAGGTGTGTATCTAGAAAATGAAAATATTTTGCTGGTAACATTTATTCAATGCATTTTTTTACTTTTTCATAAAAAAATATGAATGCTGAAACTGACAACTCATTAAACTATAAGTACAACATTACCCAGAAAAAAACCTGTGGGACTTTCAAATATATGAAACAAAACAGAGCAGTTGTGACATAGAAGTCCATAACCAGCCGCCCGCAGGGATGCTATTCGCAGATTTCTCTGTTATTTTGTAGGAATACCTATTCGCAGATTTCTGTTATTTGTAGAAATACCTACTCCATACAATATACATGGTTAATATTAAAACACATTAAACCTCTTAGGGGGTGATTCTACCCATCATCAGGAACAACATTTACTACGGCACCAACTCTGAAATCGCAAAAAAAAAGAGCTATTTCATACATTTCGGTCGATTAGCTGATGCACTTTTGTATGATACAACAATTGTTTTTCGCGATTTCAGCGTTGGTCCCATAATAAAAGTTGTTCCTGTTGATGGGTAGAATCACCCCCTAAGAGGTTGTCGGTGTTTTAAAATTAACCCTGTTTTTTTGGAGCACATACTATTTTTTTTGATGTTGAATATTTTTAAACTTTATTATGGGGATGTAAACTGACTTTTTGATGCGACAAATTGAAACTTAAGCTTCGAAGGAAATCGTGACAATATTTAAAGTTATGCCAACAACCCATTGGTCCCAACCTCCCAAATCTATACCAAAATAAAACTTTTAATTTGAGGTTATTTGTAGTACTTACCTATGTGCTGGCACTGCCACTTTTCTCATATTCACTTTAGTTTCATTCGGTTCGGCATTCTTTCTCGACCTCTTCGGTCTGGAACGAGCTACCTTCGCTTTGCCTTGGATGCCATTGTGCTCCTCCACTTCCATCCCATCTCCAGATTCGGACACCGCTCTTCTTTTGATGTTTTTCAACTTCACCGTATTCTTTGCGGGTAAAAACTCGTCCACATTAATATTCTCAGCTTCCATTTTATATAGATTTCACTCTTTTGTAGCACTAAGAACACGATTTAAAACCAAACTCTAGTTTTGTTGCTAAATAAAGCACACACGCATGGCATGGTGCGCGAAAAGGAAATGTCCACAGATTGCTTGGACTGTCACTGTCACTGTGACGTTTATTTTATTAATTCGTTCAAAAACTAACTTTAATTCTGGCATGATTCTCTAAAGTAAACCTAACTTCTGGCATGATTAAAGACTGAACTTTGAACACATATCTTTGTCATTCTCTATACAGAATGAGGAGAGCCTGATGTTAAATTAAGTTTTCAGTTCAGAGAATCACGTAAGAATGGGCACCAGTGTTTCCCTCCCTATCATGCTTTATACTTAATAAAAAGGAGAGACTGTTGTAGTTATTTTAGAAAGACATTCCAGATCATGAAGTTATATTTCCAGATTCAGTTCTACACTTTGTACAGGCTCTCTCATTTGTATAATAAATAAATATTTACTGGCGAAGTTCTCAAATTAGGAAGTTCTTCAAAAAATTATTACCTAATTATTTGTAGGTGTGGAATTACACGATACAGGTATTTATTTTCGAGTAAATTATATTCCTCTTTACAAAAAATATTATTTCAGAGATTTTGAACGCACCTTTCATTCGTTTGGTTATGTCACAGTTTTTCTAAAAAGATTTTGTTGTGAATTTATTAGAGGTACGACTGACTAATTTTAAGTTTACCAGTGTTATTAGTCAATATAGTGAGCAAACTAAAGTCCGTTCTGTTTTACAGGTATCTCGCCTGAAGCAGATACCTCGAGCCACCATGGCTACGATTATAAAAACAGCAGTGGTAAAAGTCATTGGCACAAGTCAGTATGGTAAGATAGCTGCTTGTACCTTCATCCAGCACAGGGGCATCTCTGGTAAAGCTCTCAGGGAGTCTCTGCCGCCGCCACCTCCAAAGCCAGCACCGTTCGACTATGAGAACAAAGATTACACTTTCCTTCGTAGCTTGTTCGACCGCACAACCCACAGATTCGATGATAACACGAAGGTTATCGTCGTAGAAGGCCCCGTGGCCGTCGGCAAGACTCAATTCGCCGCTGCCTTAGCTGAAGATCTAGGCATGAAGCACTTCAAAGAAGCCAACATGGATTACCATTATGTTCGGCCGAACGGACATGATTTACGCATGTTCAATGATAAAGTCCCGGAGGACACTAGGACATTCGACCACGTTGACTTCAACTTGAATCCGAACCATCGACTGGCTGCTAATTTCCAGATTATGACATATATTGCTCGATATGGCCAGTACATTGATGCATTGGCTCATTTATTCAACACAGGCCAAGGTGTTGTTTTAGAAAGATCCCCCTACTCGGACTTTGTATTCTTAGAAGCAATGTATGCCCAGAAATGGATTAGCAAAGCTGCACGATCTATATACTATGAACTGAGGAATATTTCTATTGAAGAACTGATGAGGCCTCACCTAGTGGTTTACTTAGATATACCAGTTAACACAGTAAGTATAATAAAAAAGTAAATTTTATTCTTTAGTTGGTGGTACATATATCTCTACTAATTTTCTTTTGTACCATAGTTACTAGTGGATTTTATTTTTGGATATTATTTTAAACCCTATTATTAAGATATCCTACTACTTGAGCTATTACACACTACATGCTTGAGGTGTCAATTCTGGCATGATTCTCTAAACCTAAACTTAAATTTAACTGCAGTGTATCCTTGTCATTCTCTATACAGAATGAAAAGGAGAGACTAAAAAAGAGTTTTTTTAGTTTAGAGAATCATGCCAGAATCGACACCAGAATCTTACAGTAGAGATGAATGAAATTTATGGTAGAAATATTTGGTTATTGAGTAAATATCTACCATATAACTAATATTTGAATGAACTTTATCCATAATTTGAGAACACCAATTTGTTTTTTTTTTATTTATCTAAACTAACTATCTAAAGTTCTTTATGTACATAATCATAAATACCAAAATTCACTTGGAAGTTAAAAATTGATGAAGAGGGGCTGATTTGACTATTAACTACCTAAAGAAAAGGTTGATAGAAATCAGATTTTTTACTTCTGGCCTTTATTGAGTGATAGTAATTTCCCTATGTTTCAGTAAATGTGTGGGGATTTACTGGAACCTCCCCATGGACTTCTTGAGGGAATGTCGAAAGACACTTTCCGCTACTTTTTTCACTTGCCAACACTTATGCATGTTCCCGAATACTTAGTGGTTAATAATCCACCATTATTAGACACAAACATCTGCCACAACACAGTTTTTAACCAGAAAAACAAAACTGCTAAAGTGACTTTAAAGTGCTTTCCGATCCCTCCAAAAAGTTCACTGTATGTGTTGTTGTGTGAATATAATGAATGTTTCTTATTTTCTTGCAACTCTGCAAATCTTGGTAAGGGCCTCCTCCAAATCCTAAAAGTTTGTTCTCACTCTAGCCAGCCGTGTTCAAGTTTTAAAGTGACTGATAAAATATGCTGAATGTCAATACACAAATGTAAAATATGCATCTGCAGTGGTTAGCATTACCAACCCTAAGGCAAGACCCTAAGCTCCAGCAGTGTAGACATTCATATGCTGATAAAGTACTTGTTTTGTAGGTTGAAGCCTCCATCAAGAAGCGTGGGCTTGAACACGAGGTGAAAGGCAAGGCCCTAACGACGGCATTCCTCACAGAGATGGAGAAGCAATACAAAACGAAGTATTTACGAGACATAGCGACTCACGCGGAGTTGCTCGTCTACGACTGGAGCGGCGGCGGCGATGTGGAAGTGGTACGTTTATTTAGTGATAACGACATTACCTTCTGATTTGAAGGCCTGTTATTGTAGCATGAGCCAAGGGCGTCGCCAGCTTATGACTAAGGGGGGGGGGGGGGGGGGGGGGGCAATATAACAGGTAAGGAAGTCAATTGGTCGCTTTGCGGCTAGCTATATTTGATGGTGTGTCGCCGACTCGAGAAGTCCCGGGTTCGAATCCTGATGGGGGCTGATATTTGTGTGATGAATACGAGCATTTGTACTCCAGTCATGGTTGTTTAATATGTAGTTCTATATATATGTATCAGTATATGTATTCTATCCGTTACCCTAGTATCCCATAACACAAGCCTACAGTGCTTGCTTTGGGGATAGGCTAATTGGTGTGAGTGTTGGAAACATTTATTTATAAATAATAATAGCCCAAATTCACTTGATAAAACACAGGTAGTCGAAGACGTGGAACGCTTAGACTTCGACAAGTACACGGAGCGCGAGGAGCCCAAGATGAAGGACTGGCGGCTCCCCCGCGAGGTGGAGTACGCCGACCAGCGCATGCTCTACACCAACGGGAAGTACTGGCTCATGAACCAGTTCAACGTGCCCAACACCAGCGCGCCCGAACTGATAACCAGCGCTGAAGATGCTTACGAGAGGGAGAAGGTGAGGATTAACCGTTGTACTAAACTTTAATCGTTCATTTTGTTTGGGACCACGGGGCAGCAAAAGTACTTGGCGAATTGGGATTCGTTGAAATGATACAACTTCATACTTGAACTAATGTATTCTTAAAATAAACATAACAAATCAAACAGAATCTTGAACTGGTACTGAATCCTTGATATTATATCTATTCATATAGGAAACTACTTATAGAAAAGCACTGCAGCAATCTATACCGCGATTACAACGACTTAACGTGACATCTATTAACCAAATAAAGAACTAAAGTTGTTATTATGTGAAACTTAGGAACTTAAACCATGGTGCGAGTAACAATTGCTACAGCGCCATCTTGCTTCTTATAAAAGAGCTATATGAACTTGAACACATTTTTTTTTGCCTAAACAGCAGGACACGGCATTCCTAAACTTTGTTAAACCAGTTTTTTATATAGTCATAATTTTTATTATATTAGCATTTGTAATGGAAAGTGACTTTATGAGTTACCTCATATTGAAGTCATTTTTCAATTTGACGGCTCTGTATACAATACAGGGAGAAAAAACAGCCCTTGCTGAGTTTCTTGCCGGTTCTTCTCAGTACAAGGTCTCCCGCCGTAGATTTGCGAACCGATGGCGTAGCTTTTCGACATTCACAGGTGCTTGTAACAGCCTAGACTGAATAAACGATATTGAATGTTGAATTTTTGAATTTTACACTTGTAGGAAGGCCAAAGGATCTTCCTCCGAGCTGGGTGATGGTAGCTCGGGGGCCGCGGTCCGACTGATTGTTTTTTTTTTTGATTCCTCCCAGGCATGGGAGTGGTTGTGAAATCCTCATGGATACCTTACAGCCGGCTGCAAGGTTATGTCAGACTCCTACTGACTAAAACACACTCGTAGTATATGCTTATGGCCTGAAGGGCCTTACAAGCTTCATCTGAAGCGATTATCCCCTGAGAGGGGGATAATGCAGCGCTGCGTTAGTTTAGCCTCTCTGTGTCGGGGAGGCCCCGACTGATGTTGGACGGGCATCGTATATATGGAGTGTTAGTCCGAATTTTACTTGCGCGATGTAGGCTTCCATACTATTGTGATCGCATTTCATACTATAGGTAGCGCCATCTCTTGAGGAGTCGAGGGACTATTTCCTCCATGTTGATTATATGTGGGGCATATAGATGTCGCCGACACACTTAGGCCACCTTGCAGATTTTTTTCTAAACCCCGATTCATCATCATCATCGGATTATTAATTTATCACTGCCGAGGCACAGGCCTTCCCTATGGATGGAATAGGGAGTTTGGGCTATGACCCACCACGAGGGTCCAGTGCGGATTGGCGGTGCCAACGACAGCAACGGCAACGGCTCAACGTGCCTTTCGAAGCACGGAGGAACTCGCGATAGAAGATTTTTGGTCACCCATCCAATGACCGACAACTGCGAAAGTTGCTTAACTTCAACGATCGCAGCCGAACGCGCTAACCACTTGCGCCATCGCGCTCCTCGTTGTGTAGCTGTACGACAAACGCACCGCTTCGGCACCGCAGCAGGCCGTCAAGAAACGCATAAATTGAAAAAGCCCTAAAACTAGATGTAATCCATAGAAAAAATACTTAATGTCACTGTCAATTTAACATCATGGTATGGGATGAATCTAGTTTTAGTTAAATTGAGATTTACCAAAATTCCTGCAAGTGGGCCTTAGGATCGTATTATAAGGCCCAGGCAGGAATTGAGATTATGAAAAATAATGTACCAATTGTTGGCATCTGTAGTTATTATGAATATTAAACAGGGATTTTACTAGTCTGAAAGAACAAATAATCAATATCTTTTCTAAAAAAAAACTATAAAACGCCTGAGTTAAGACAAGACTAAAATGACGTCACAAGCTAGTAAACTTCCGGCCAAAGTGACATTACACTTTTTAATGACAGTCGTGTGACGTCACACACTAGTGAGACGCCATAATATATCCATAGGGAAGGCCTGTGCCCCAGCATTGCAGATACCAATAGGCTAATGTCGATAATTTATGTGCTTTAATTAATATTATTGTTGCAGGTAATTTACGGCCATCCCGACTTTGAATACGAAATTGGTTACAACGCCAAGGACACCGGAAAGCTGACCAAGAACAAATTGCCCAAATATACAGTGTATGTGTAATACCTGTTACCTCGGTTTATCTTTGTAGAATGTGAATGAATTATTTAATAAAATTATTATTTGAAATGTTATTACTTTACTTATTTATTACTTTAGAAGTACCATTGACAGCTACAAAAAGTTAGTGGTGTCGATTCTGGCACGATTCTCTAAATCTAAGCTTAAATTTGACAACAGTGGTGTCGATTCTGGCAGCATTCTCTAAACTTAAAACTAAATTTAATATCAGTCTGTCCTTTTTATTCTATGTGGAGAATGACAAGGATACACTGTTGTCAAATTTAAGTTTAGCTTTAGAGAATCATGCCAGAATCGACACCAGTGTATCCTTGTCATTCTCTATACAGAATGAAAAGGAGAGACTGATGTTAAATTTAGTTTTAAGTTTAGAGAATCACGCCAGAATCGATACCACTATTAGAGGGAGATGTTGTTTCGCTAATCTGTTCTTTTATTTGTTGATCATCTATGATTGTAAGTATTTATATAGCTTATTTGTTTCTTGAGTTTTCACGCACATCACTCATTAAATAAAACTAGTTTTTAACGGGTTAATGCACGAAACTTTATTTATTTAATTATTAAACCGAACGCTCAATAAAAGTCTTTCGAAGGTAGCTCGACAAAATTAAATAAAAAATCATTATTCTGACGACGCAGACCTGAAAAGGCTGCGAAACGTCAATAAATAAATAAAGTTTCGTGCGTTAACCCGTTAAAAACTAGTTTTGTTTATTTATATAGCTTATAATTAATCAGTGTGGTTTTAATTAATATTAAATAAAAAGTATTTTTTTTTTTGAGTGTGTATGCTGTTAGTCTCAAATAACCTTATAGGCGAGATCCTAAGAGGGCCTCAAGCCAAGAATTGGCGAGTGCCTCTGGAGGTATTCCAGACGGATGGCATCGCCCCTCGGGGGGAGTCTCCTCTCCGTCTGGAGCCTCCAGACCACTCGAACCTGAGGGGGTCGGCTCAACTAGGCGTCTCTGAGACTCTGACCTCGGCTCCAGTTAGCCGTTGTCGTGGGGGGCGGGGTAAAACGCCCAGGTACGTACCTGTACCTGGTATAGCGTGTCGGGTGTAGACCGGGTCTTCGCACTCTTATCCTACGGGTGCGGTGTCTGCCTTAGTATAGCAAAGCGCCTTAAATTTTAAGTCATCAATACAGCATATTGTTGTCCATATCGATATTTGTCACGTGTTTATACAAACTATAAAAAAATAAATATTTCCAACACACACCAATTAGCCTAACCCCAAAGTTAGCACTGTAAGGCTTGTGTTATGGGATACTTAAGGTTTAATTACAGAGTATTTAAGCTTAAAAGGAGATGCTGGTCATTAGTTTAAGATCACATTATTGTTCAAGCCAATAAAAAATATTATAATATTTTTTGTATTCCATCCGTTGCTTAGTATAATAATAATAATAATTATTATACTAAGCAACATACATATACCGTACATATAGGGGAGGATGGGGGAATTGCGGACGCTGAAGGGAAATAACTCACAACATTCGTACTATTAGTAATAATTAGTCTGTCTTTATTAATTATTAATCTTTAGTTATACATCTACAAAAACAATTATACTTATTAAACGAGATCAATCAACAAATAGAATATTTTTAGCAAAAACAAAACCTTGTCTGACCTTAATTACCCGTAGCGTTCGGGGTAAATTCGTACTGACCCTGGGTTAATTACGGACAGCATGGGGTATTTACGGACTAGGTTCACATCATTGACAAAAATCACAAGTAAAGCCTTTAGAAGAACTTACTGCAGTGCAGTTCTCATGAGCCCACTTGTTACACTTTAAACACATAATCCAGCCTACGGCGAGTGGATCACTGTAATTTTCCTGATAATAAATGCAAAAGTAATCAACATTTCCTTCATTTTCAAAATTATTCAGATTTTTTAAACCCTTTGATCCTTTTCCTGTAGAAAGTTCTGACTTTTTCAGCTTATTAGATGTAGTTTTTATTTTCTTTTGTTCCTTTTCTTCTAGATTCTTTTTTTCCGGGGTGCTGGTAAAAATGATGGAATGCTTTTTGTTTACTGACCGTTTGCTACGATGAATTTGTAGAGTTGGGACATTTATTAAATCACTAAACGGTACTGATGAAGATTGACTTGTTTGACTTGTCGTACTTTGGTTTTCGGACGTCCGTATTTACCCCGAAAGCCGTGTCCGCAATTAACCCAACAGGGTATTTTTAAATCAAAGAGAGAAAGGAGATTGCTCAAATTGGCCTAAATGCACAAAAAATATTGACATACACGGTAATGCTTGGCGTAATTTATAATTTAATTTACAGTCATTAGGTAGTGTAGAGGTAGTGAACACTACAATAAAGTTCTCACGTCCACTTGACCGGAATAGCGTATATTTTAACAATTCCACTTATTCTTCAGTTGTACAGATGGTTGTAATACAAAATCACACCAATTTTATTTCACAATATCCATTAAGAACGAATTTAAGAATAATTAAAATAAGACGCCAACCACACTCGATGAAATCCCGCCAAAAACTCCAGTTGTGCCCTTGCATGCCAGTATTGCCATCGCGTATACACAGGACAGTTCGTGAGAGTCACTCGTACCTACCTATTCTTGCGAGCCAATATAACAATCGAAGTGAATTAAACGAAATTGTGTTGTTACTAGCATTTAATCCCTATACAACGGGGTGCCCAATGAGGGCTATCGCGTATGAATCCGCCGCTAGAGGCGCTAGTGTAGCGTGAGGTCTCCGAAATGTCAAATGTTATTGCTTGTTGGTTGACTACGCGGGTTTATTTCTAATTAAAATAATAATGTCGTGAATAATTGGTAACAATTCGGCTTAATTATGGCAAATATGAGTTATGTGACAATGAATGTCAGTTATTAAAAATTTGAGCTTAGAAAAATGATTATGTTCCCATTTTTTCCGAATAAAACGGAACTGCGCGTCACTGTGGCATGGCCTATTATGTTTAGGATATGGTTCTTTTGTGTTAAAATACGATCTAAATCCCTAAGGGTGCGGCCAGAGTGCACTCAGATCTGAATATTTCACTGTATCACCATTGTCACGATTTATTTAGGATTGCACTAAATAAAACGACAAATTAAGATTACTATACAATATACTACAAGAAAATAAGTTATTTATACAAAGACCAGGGTCGTAGGTAGGTTGGAGGTTGGAGCCAGAGAATTCACCGGAGCGGCACTCCCCTGTTCAGTGCAGCGTCTAGGTCCCCGCTACAAGGCTACGTTCCCGAACTCGTCGCGACAGTCTGATCTTCGTCGACCTCCGTCAGCCCTCAACTAGTGGTTTTTTACGGATCAAGACACCCGTAAGTAGTTCCTGAAGAGTTTAAGTGCCAATATAAGCATAAGAAAAAGCGAAGTCCGATTCTGCCACTATTTGAAAATATAACGGTTCATCGTAGGCGAAGCCGGGAAATATAAGCTAGCACGTAAACGGGGTAATATGCCTCCTAAATTATTCTGGGGTATAGTGGCAGTTATCAAAGATCAGAATCGGTTACAAATAACTGAATGGCATTTTAATAAGAAATATATTTTTTATTATCGCTAAACAATATCCATGTACTTGTTTATCAAACATAGCAATAAATCTAAGTCGGCTAAATAATATGACTAAAAACATCGTATACTGCAAATCAACTACATATGAGTACAAACAAAATGAATAATAACGGTTATTTAACTAAATATTATAAAAGCAATAAAAGCACTATTACAATATATTTGCGTTTAACTACATTCTGTGACTATATTTGCTCAACTTACCCAGTATGGGATGCACCAGCACTAATTATTATGAAAATCCAAAACTTCACAATAAAAGATAAATAAAAACGTTAGAAATTGCAACAAGCAAGAATGACTTGCAACTCAATTTTTAGCTTCCAATGACACAGCCGTTCGTAATAGTTCTGTTGTTTTCTGAGACTGAATCTGAATCTGAATCAGGAGTGTACTCTGGCCGTACCCTTCGACTACACTGTTATTTCTCGCGCTTGTTTTCGAAATCTGAATCTGAATCTGAGTGCACTCTGGCCGCACCCTAACATATATACAGATTATAATGTGTTTATGGAGGTGTTTGGCGAAAAATGTATGGCAATAGACTTTATGATGTCGCCTACCATCTATAATAATTGATCAGAATCTGAATCTGAATCTGAGTGCACTCTGGCCGAGCGCGAGAAAACAAGTGCGAGAAATAAACAGTGTAGTCTAAGCAGGTTGCCTGCTTTTTCTTGCGCTTTGTTGCCTGAGACTGAATCTGAATCTGAATCAGGAGTGCACTCTGGCCGTACCCTTCGACTACACTGTTTATTTCTCGCGCTTGTTTTCGGAATCTGAATCTGAATCTGAGTGCACTCTGGCCGCACCCTTAGACTTTAAGGTATCTATCTATGGACCTACGTTCCCTGACTATAAATTAATAAATAAATAAAATTATAAGGTGTGATACACTAAAAATCTAAAATATGGTTATCTTAAAAACATAACAAAAATAATGAAGCTACTGAATATATGGCTATAGAACCTAAATCTCTTAGCTTTATTTGGTTAACGAGAGTTTAAAAATTTTCTCTAATCTGTGGCTCATTCACAATCATCACACAGTGTCACAGAGTACCTACCTTATTATAACCGGAAATGACACCTGATTTTAAAAGTTACACTTATGCATTAACTTTAAAAACAGGCAACTATCTGTTAATCTACATGCTCTGTATACCTGAATCTAATCCATAATTTCGGTACTTGGCTTGATTTCCCTAGTTTACTATATAACTTATGTTTTTTATTATTTTAATATGTTCAGTGTATATAGTTTATAGAAGTTCTCAGGGGTGTCCGTCAATAATATTCGTTTCTACAGTAATTTATGTATAATTTCGAATCTAGGAAACAATTTTTCATGATTATTGGTCTTTAGGCCAAACATGTATGGAAGCTAAGCAATCTCCTTTGTAGGTTATGAAAACGTTCCATAAAAACAAACATTGGCGATTCAAACTCTATTGACAAAGCTATCCATAGAAAATATTACTTTTTACCATCAGTTAGTATACAGA